CTCGTTCCAGGCGGGGAAAGACAAAACTTCTTTCCACGCTTTCCACTCCGCGCGAAACTGAACCAGGGCACCGCGGGCTGGCAAGGGGGGGCCCTCGAGGGCCCTGCGGTCGGCCCACGCTTGTTGAGCTTTATCCGAGGGGCGCGAGAACGGCGTCTTGTCGCGCCGCTCTCGCGGGCAGAAGCCTCTCCACAAAGACAGAAAACTCCATCGTATGATGCCGAAGATGTCGCGCCAGGTGTTCGTGGACAAGTGGCTCTTCAAAATGCTGAACAATGGGATTCTCAAGTTGCCGTGGGGTCCGTCGGGGTCAAGGCCAGGCAAGTTCATGCTGAGGACTTCGACCGACGCAGATCTGCCCCACTTGGTGGGGGCCCGTCCTGCCGCAGGCCGATGGCCACCGCGGGGCTGCCCAGCTTCGCTCCCACGCCCTGCATGCGCGCGCGGTCGCCCTCATCCAGCCCCTGCCTCTGCAGCAACGCGTGCAGGTCGCCGTGCCTGCCCGGCGCCAGGGGGACCTCGTGCGGCAGCAACAGGGAAACTTCCTTTGTCTCTTCTCGATGACGCCTGGTGTTCCACACGCGGACCTGTGCCGCGTACTCCTTCGGCCACAACGTTCCCTTGAGAAACTCCCTCCTTAAGGTCCTGCGCGTGTCGGCACGTCCCGCTCTCAGGTCCCCAACGCCCACGGCCCCCCCTTCCTCGGCGTCGGCGGCGAGCCCTTGCATGTCGCCCGAGGACAAAGTATTCCTCATCATGTGCGTCTCCAAGGTGGCGCGAAAGCGCTTTGCAGGCGGCAGCGCGCCGGTGTCCACCGCCGGCTGGCGCTTCGAGAACATGGCGGCGCGCCCGCCCCGCGGCCCGCCAGGCGCCCGTCGTCTGGCAAACAGCTTCGGGCGAAGGCGGCATCCGAAGCAGGAGGGGGCGGGGGGGAATCCAACTTCAATTCGAAATTCCAACTTCGAAGTTCGGAGTCCGAACCTCGAACTTCGAACGCGCGCTTCACAGGAGGCAGCGCCTCCTTGTCCCCCCCGCTCCTCAGCGGGGGAGCTCGCCTCCGCACGTTCCCATGAGCTGCGACATCTCCCGCCAGACACAGCGCTGTCGCGCGAAGCGGCGCGCGCAGGAGGCGCCTCGCCTCCTCGATTCGCCGCGCTTCTTTTTTGTCGGCCAGCCGCAGTCGCAGGCAGTTGCTTTTGTGCGCTGGCGGGGGCGCTGCCCGTGGCTGCTCGCTCGTTTCTCCCCCCCCCCCTCCTCCCGCGCCCCGGCTCCCTCGGCCCCCCCCCATTCCCCCCTCCCTCGCCCCCTCCCCCCTCTCCCCCCCCCTCCCCCCCCCTCCATTCCCCTCCCCCGCGGGCCGCTCGCTTCGCGCCCTTCCAACGCTTCGCGCTGATCTTGCCGCCCTCCAAGTGCTTCTCCGCGAGCGTGACCTGGTCTGACAGCGCATGCCTCGTCTTCCCCATCATCTCGTCGTCGGGTTCGCCCTCGGGGATGCATGCCGCTTCTGCCAGCAGGAGCTCTGCAGCGTCGAGGAAGTCGCTCAGCGCTGTGTGCGCGGGCCTGATCTCGTCGCCGTTGGTGCCCCGCTTGGCATCGTCGTCTCTCTTCGCCTTGGCGTCGAAACTCAGCATCAGCTCCTTCATGTCCTTCTGCTGCCTCTGCAGGGCGGCCACCTTCAGCCTGCGGCGGCGCGGGGGGATAGGAGGGAAAGAGGGGGGACATGAGAGGGGGGGGGGGGCGGATGGGGGCTGGGGCAATGTGTGGAAGTTGCAGGCATAATTTGAATTCCCATCCTGAGCTCGTCTTTATTTTCGGACATATCGCGGTACTCTTGGTTCTCGGTCTTCACGTCGCCGCCCCCCTGCCCCGCAGACGCGGATCCCCGAGACATGTCCTCCGGCGCGCCATTGCTCGTCTTCCCATAGTCTTTGTATGAGGCCCACTGCTCTCCCGTCCTCTCCTCGGCTGCGGTCTGCAGACCATCGTCGAAAACGTAAAAATACAATGAATCTATGATTTCTTCCGTGTCCATCTGGGGCGGGTGGGATTCTGCCGTCTTCTGCTTCTCAGCGTTCTTGCGCCACTTGTTGCGGGCCCAATCGCACCCCGCCGACACGGTGGGAAAGTTCCCCAGGTTGACCCCGAACTCCTGCATCAGCTGCGTGACTGTGACCAATTTCTGTCTGCTGTTTGTCGACTCCATTTTCGAGGACTCATAAACGGCTGTGAAGGAATGCGTCAGGCCCTTCAGCCTCTTGGCGTCTTTCTCGCCCTTCTCCTTGTTGGACGTGAATGTGTCGTAGAACTCCTTCCGCTTCTGCTCGCCCAGTTGCTTGAGCGTTGCAAGGGCGATGATGCACTCCTTCCCGCTGTCGCTCTGGGCATTTCCATCCTTCGCGTTGTGCCGGAGGTGGTTCATGAGGTACGTGGTTTGCGCGTTCGCCAGGGAATCTTGCGGCGGGGGGGGCGGGCTCTTCTTGGCCTTCGGGGGCGGGCTCTTCGCTGGAGGCGGGCCGTCTCCTCCGGGCATCTTCGCTGGAGGCGGGCCCTTCGGCTTCCCAGCCGCGCCGTGTCCTGCAGGCGCCTTCGCTGGAGGCGGGCTCTTCGCTGGAGGCTGGCCCTTCGGTTTCCCCTTTGCTTTGTCCTTTGCTTTTCCCTTTGCCTTTGGCGCCGTGCGCGCCAAGTAGGTACTCAAGGCAAGAGAGCTCACGAGCGAAATCAACAACGGCATCTGCCGAATCTTCTGTGGAAGCAGGAGAAACGCAAGGGATTAGGGCAAATGGAAATTCGAGCCTCGGACGCAGCTGCGGCGCACGCAGACAGAAGGGCGGCGCCTGCATAGACGAGGAAGCGCGGCCTCCTGCCAAGAAGAGGCGCGGCCTCCAGCGCCTGCCCTCCGCGGCCGCGCGATGCAGGAAGCGTCGCCCCCTTCTCCTCGCCCATCCCCCAACCTCGCTCCTCTCCCCCATCCCTCCCCGTCCGAACGCCGAGGGCTCAGTCAGCTGAGTTTGCGCTCTTTGTCGCAGTTCTCGGCGCCTTTTCGAGCCACGGGGTCGCAGGTGAGCGCGTGCTGGGCGGGGTTCTCGCGCCGTCACGCGGAAGAAAACAACGCGGCGGTGCCGTTCCAGGAGCGCAACAAGAAGCAGGGGATCCCGCAACCGCAAGTGAACTGGGCGCGCAGGGGCACCAGCGCCAAAAAAAATGAGAACGAGGAAGGGGAGGGGAAGGAAAACCGTTTGAATTGCGCCCGCCCTCGCAGAGGAACCGGGGCAGGAGGGGTGGATCACCGCGCCAGACGGCCCGACGCAGGCGTTGGAGCTTGCGTGGTAGAAGGGGGAGCGGCTGGCGCACTACCAGGCTCGATCTCTCCTTCCTCACTTTTGCCCCCCTATGCTCCAATCTCCACTTCCCCCCTCCTCCCAGGTCGGCCGCCGCGCGCGCGAAGCGGACTTGTGGGCGTTCCAGCAGTGGGACGCCGACAAGAACCTGCAGATGTGGTACTTCCCCATCAGGCGCTCGCCCCCCCCCTCCTCTTCCTCCTCCTCTCGCTTCCTCCTCCCTCGTCCGCGCTCCTCTGTCCCTCTTCTTTTCGTCCCTGCCCAGGCGCCAGGTGATCATGGCGCCGAACTTCTGAGGGCTGCGGCAGACGTCGGACACGTGCCTTTTCTTCGCTGGTACGTCCAGCGCGAAACTCCTCTTGTGTTTCCTTAAAAGCTCAACATTATCTTCTCTTCTCTATTCTGGAGGCTGAGCCTCCAGCGCATGAGGTAGTGCCTCCAATGCAAAAATAAAGGAGGCGTCGCCTCCTCGGCTCCTCGCAGCTCCTCTCCCCTTTGCCCTCGCATGCCGAACGCATTTTCCAGCGTGTTGATGTCGGGGTAAGTTTTAACTTATGAGGAAGCACAACATACAAACATACAAAAAAACACAAATACAAACTACAAATCGTCATACAAATTTTTGTATTAATCATACACAAATTACCTGATACACTATAGCATACAAAATCATACAACTAAGATGCAAAACGTACAAATATACAAACAATACAACAACATACACCATCACATAGTAACCTATATATTCAATAGTTTATTACAACAAATACATGCGTATTCTGCACTATCACCATGCGGATTTCAACATCAACACACTAAAAAACACATTCGGTTTGCATGTACTTAGTCTTTTTCTCAGGCCGCGTCAAAATGCGCGGCTCAGAGAGTTGACGCCGCGGATGCCGCCCACGGCGGCGCGCGCCTCCTCAGCAGAGATATGGGAAGGATAAGCGGCAGGAACAGAGGAGGGGCGAGGGGAAGGTGAAGTGCAAGCCAAGTGAAATGAAAAGAGAGGGGGCGGTGGATGGGGAAGAGTCTGCCTTTCCCTTCGAGGAGGCGGCGCCTCCTTGCCACCCCCCTCCTCTCCCTTTCCACGTCCCCTAGCCCTCCAGTCGCCGCGTCGCCGTCTGCGGAGCATTCGCGGGTTCGACCTTCCAAGGCAATCCCACGACGAGGCGATCATGCGAGAACCTTTCGCCGCCTCGGCGCGGGGGCGCCCTGGAAGGAAAACCTCTCTAAGGCCCAATCGCATCTTCTGCTGCGCCCTGTGCCGCGGCTGCGGGCGCTGCTGCTGGGCCGTCTGCTGGAGCTGCTGCTGCTGCAGCTTCTGATGCTGGAGGCGTTGCTGCTGCTGCTGCTGCAACCTCTGGCGCAGGCGAACGGGCCGCCTATGCTGCCCGAGGGGCAGGGTTGGAAGGCGGCCTCCGAGACGGCGTGCGCGGCGGCGCCCCGCCTCCCACGGCGCCATTGCCTGCGGGCGGTGGCGGAGGCGGTTCACCAGCACGTCGGAGCCCACCTGGGCAGGGGGGGGGATGCTGCAGGAGGCAGCGCCTCCTCAAGTACCACGTCCGTCTCGAGTTCGACGTTCGAAGTTCGAAACTCGACATCCGAATGTCGAACTTTGAACTTCGAGCGTCGAACCCGTGCGGTGGGACGTCGAAATCACCCCGCCCGCTTCTGCCGCGTCCGCCGCAGCGCATCATCCGCCTCCTGCATGTCCGCGGCCAGCGACGCCTCCAGGGCGCGCTTCTTGGCCATGAACCTGGGCACGGAGGGTTGCGTATGTGTGCTGTTGCCTCTGTTTACATTCTTTTGCCGGGGGCGTTGCCTCCGTGCGACATTGCGCCTTTTGCTTTTGTGTCCCCAGGAACTCGCGCTGCCGCGCCCCCTTGGACATGCGGTTCCGCGCCTTCGGCCGCACCACGATGGCCATGTGCTGGTTGCGGGTGGCCTGGTTGCGCTTCTGGCACGAGTGGCTGAGGCACGCGTGCACGAACTTGTCCTGCTGGCAGCGCGTGCAGCGCTGCCCGCCACGGGCTTTGACCCACCCGCGCGCCGCGCGTTTTCCCATCTCCTCGGGCAGCCACATCAGCTCCTCCTCGGGCTCGCCCTCATAGACGACCATGCAGCCGTCGTCGTCGTCCTCCTCCTCCTCCTCCTCCGCCTCTTCGCCGCCGCCTGGCAATCCGTCGCGGAGCGTGTCCTTGAACGGATCCTTGCCAGGCGGCCCACCACCGCCGCCGCCGCGAGGGCGCCTCGTCGGCTGGAGGCGCAGCATCGCCACCGCCTGCGGGCAGGGGGGATGGGGAAAAAGACTTGCTCCTCCTCCTCCGCTTGCTCCTCCTTCAGGAGGCGACGCCTCCTCCTCTTCTCTCCCCTCTTAACTCCCCCTCCGCCTGCTGCGCCAGCGCGGCGAGCAGCAGCAGCGCCCAGCAGGCCGCCGTGGCCCCGCCGAGAGGCCCTGCTTGGGAAGGGGCCGCGCGGCCCCGAGCGTCGCGCACGCGCCCCGCGAGGAGCGCTCGCGGCTGCGACGGGCGAATGAAAACGCGCATCCAGCTGCCGCTCGGAGCAAGATGCGCCAAGAGGCGGCGCCTCCTATAGAACGCGGCGCCAAGCAGAAGGCGGAGCCTCCTGTCGGGGGCGATGCTGCCGAGCAGGAGGCGGAGCCTCCATCGGGAGGCGTCGCCTCCCCCCCGTCGATCAACGCGCCCCTCCCCTGCGTGCAGGGGGCGGGCTCTCGTCCAGGAGGCGGCGCCCCCCCCCCCCCCCTCCTTTGCCTTCGCTCTTCGCCCCCCCTCCTTTTTAGCGGACCGCGTCGAGAACGGTGCAAGATCTGATTCCGAACTCCTGTTTCAGCCGCGCGACTGTGGCCCAGAACTGGCTGCTCTACATGCACATCTCCGCTGCCGCCGCTCCCTCCTTCTACTCGCGCCGCCTCCGCCACTCCGAACTTGTCGCGCAGGAGCTCCTCGCCTCGCGCTTTCACGGTCGCTTCCGTGATCTCACGCGTGCACAGCTTGCTGACCATGTCCGCTGCCATCTCCCGCATCTGCGCCTCGGAGTAGTCACCCGCTGTCCACTGGCGCACCTGGCTGCGCGGCTTGTGCACCTGGCGGATCGCCACGGCCGCCTTCTTCTTTTCTCGCCTGCCTTATACCACATGACAACCCAGGCTTTCCCCCTCGCAGAATCCTCCCCCGCCTCCAAGCTGGGGCTCCTGTCGGCCGCGGCATGCTTCTCCTCGGCCGCGGCGGGCTTCCTGACGGCCGCAGCCGGCCTCCGCTTGCTCGAGCCGCCCGCGGCGCCCTCCAGGTCGGACTCGTTCGTCTCCTGGCTGCTCTCCAGTTCGCCGTCCTCGCTGTCGTCGCGGGCGCGGGCCCCCTTGGCCTCGTCCTCGTCCTCCTCCTCGTCCTCCTCCTCGTTCGCTGCCGCCGGCCTCTTCGGCGCTGCCGCTGGCCGCTTCTTCGCCCCGCCCTTCGGGTGGGCCTGCTGCGGCTTGACTGCCTTCCCTCGGCCCCCCTGCTCCGCGGCCTGCAGGGCGGCGTTCGCCACGAGCGTCTCGACCGCCTCACCGCCGACGGTGATCACGGCGAAGCCCTTGGCGCCCTGGCGAAGACGGAACCGCTCTTCCTTGAGCCCGAGCCACGCCTCGGGGCAGTGCCGAGCCCTCGCGAGTTCCATCGTGTTGTAATCCACCCAGTCTTCGTCCTCCTTGAAGGTCGCCGTCTTCTCGGCCTGATAGCTCGCCCCCTTTTGCGCCTCGGCGGTGGAAGGGGGGGGGCGATGGGGGCGCGGGGGAGAGAGAGAGAGAGAGAGAGAGAGAGAGAGAGAGAGAGAGAGAGAGAGAGAGAGAGAGAGAGAGAGAGAGAAAGAGAGAGAGAGAGAGAGAGAGAGAGAGAGATTTCCTCTCTCTCTCTCTCTCTCTCTCTCTCTCTCTCTCTCTCTCTCTCTCTCTCTTTTCTCTCTCTCTCTCTCTCTCTTGAACTTCGAACACTCTCTCTCTCTCTCTGTCTCTCCATGCCCCCCTCTCTCTCATGTATGGTGCAGAGCGAAACGCAAACGCCGCGCGGGCCTTCCTCGTGCTCGGCGGGCTGCTGGCCACGGTCCCCTGCGACGGGGCGACGCGCGCCCCCTCGTCGCCCATGCGCTCCCGCGGGGGGGCCCTCGCGCCATGTAGGGCCAGGATCGCCGAGCCCTGGTCCGCTGCGCTGGGCGCGGCGCCGCCCGAGGCGGCCGACGCCGCCCCTGGGCTGCCGCGAAGCTTTGCTGAGCTCGGCGGCGTCGAGGCGGGCGAGTGCTGTCCGCCGCCCACGGCTTCCGCCTTCCTGGCGTGGATCGCCGTCTGCGCCGCGGGAGGGAGGCGCTACAACTCCTTGTTGCCGATCCTCTTGTTGCGCCACGACAGCGTCTCCAACGTCATTTTTGCCCACGCCGAGGGCGCGGGGTCCGCCTCCCCGAGCACCTCCTTCAGACCCTTCTGGAGGTCCTTCGCGGACAGCCTCGCCGTCCGCCCATTCACGCTCGCCAGGAAGTTCACGCCCTTGCGCGCGATGTCCTCGTAGCTGCCCGCGCAGTGGAATCCCGGGATCTCGCCCTGCCACTTGCGGATGATCCCGTTCAAATCCTCCTGGGCGATCTCCACTTTCGCACGCCCCAACGCCGTGCGAGCGGCCCCGCGCCGAGGTTGGGGGGGGGGCCGTTGCCGCGGCTTCTCGATGGCAGACTGCGGCGGCGATGGGAAGGTCGGATGCGCCGCCGTCGTCGCTCCTAGGAGGCGCGGCCCCCGCGTCCGCATGCTCGCCCCGCCCCATTCCTCTCCCCCCCCCCCCCGTGCAGGAGGCGCGGCCTCCTCGCTCTTCGCCCCCGTGACAAGAAGTCAACTTCCGCCCCTGCGAGATCGACGCGACGCCCTGGGGGGGGGGGGGGGGGGCGACGCCCCCCCCCACGCGCCAAGACCGCTCGCGCATGCAGCGCATGGCTCGCCGCAGGAGGCGCGGCCTCCTCCGCGCGTGAATAAAAAATCTCATTGCAGGAGAAGCGCGCCGTCGTCGTCGTTAAGATGTGCGCGTCGCCACAGATTTAGCGACGATCGCCGCTAACTTTTAGCGTCGACGCTAACTTTAAGGCCGGCTACTAAATAAGCAGATGCACGAAATAAGCATAGATGGATTTACATGGCAGAGAATTTCCCGCGCGGGCCCGAAGGGCCGCAGCATGGGGAAGGCCTCGGGCCTCCGGCCCTGAAGGACTTCCCGAGGTCGCCGTGGTGCAGTAAAGATAGCTTTTGCAGCCGTGTGGGGCCTGCGCGGGCTGGCGAGGCCCAGCTCGGTCATGTCGAGCCGCTGGCAGTCCGTCGCCCTGTCCAACATCTCCGCGCTGGCGATGAGTCAATCCAGCTCCGACGGCTCCTCGGACAGGGGGTGCCGACCTGCGCCCGCCCCCGCGTCGACGACGCAGGCGCCCGCCTTGCCTGGCCAGAGCGATGCGCGCGGGTTGAACCTGTCGGGTTCGACGTTCCGATGTCCTGCAAGGATCCAGGGCTTGCCCTTTGGACGCTCGAAGTGGGTGCGGACAAACATGGGTGCAATGCCTGGCAACAAATGTTGTCCCAAACCAACGGCGGCCGCTGTTGGGCAGGCGGCCTTCTGTCTCGAATTGATGCAGACCGCGGCGGCGTGGACAGCGAGTCCGGTCCAAATGAACAAGAACTGCTGTTGGGCATTGTACCCATTCTTTCCGTGCAAATTTCGTTCGCGCCGATGCTCGCGCGCTTGGGCAGCGCGCCCACCCCCCGGAGGATGGCCGCGCCGTTCTCGCCGACGTTGTCGTTTTCCACGTAGACCGAACCGAGCAAGAAGCCACCTGGCACCACTCCGCTGCTGTACGTGACCGTGGTTCTACCTTCAGAGACATGACAGCTGTGCTTGTCGCCGTTCTCACCAGGCCCGCGCGTGCCGCGAGCCCCGCGGACCGCGACAGCCGCGCCCGCGCTGGCCGCGCGATGCTGCGATGTCCCTGCGGCAGCGACGCCTGGGGAGAGCACTGCGGTCTGGCTCACCCGGCGGCGCCGCTGTCCTGCTCCGCCACTCGGTGGCAGTTGAGGTGGTGATCTTGAGTGCGCAGCGCGTCTCCCAAGTGGAGCTGGGCGACCACGTCCTGCTGGGGGTCGCGCTGCTCGCAGGGGGTGGCGGCGAACGGACCCCCGCCGCTGCCATTGGGGCTCGCGACGGAGAGCGCTGATTGGCTGCCCCCGCTTCCCCCTTCGCCTGAGCCCCGCGGCGCGCAGCCCCTGGAGGACCTTGGCTGCGCATGCTTTCCGCTGCGCCGCTGCCCTGGCCGCGCGGTCGGCGGGTCTGGAAACGTCTCCCTCAGCGCCGCCCGCGGCTGCTGCCTCCTCCTCCTCGGCGCTCTCCTACTGCGTGATGCTGTCCGCGAGGTTGCCCAGGTCGGCGTCTTCGAAGAACTCCTGCCCGTCTCCGCTAGCGTCGCGCTCGGCCGCCGCACCTGCTGAGGCGACCTGGTGCGCCAATCGGCAGATCTCCGACGCCTGCTCCTCCCAACTCTCTGCGCATCCTGTTGCCAGGAAGGAGTTGGCGCGCTCGGCTTCGCTGAGGCTGGCCGCAGGTGCAGCAGGCTGTGCCGCTGCCTCTGGCCCTGCGCCCCGAGCGCCGTCATGTGCGCCTCCTTCGCGGTTGATGCTTCTGGTTATGCAGGGGCTCGCTTTCCTGGGTTGTGCCTGCGATCTTCCTCTCCGTTGCCTCCGCGGTGGTCTGCTGGTTCTTCTGCTTGCGCTCCAGCTCGCTCAGCTGCGCGGGCGGTGGTATCTCCTCGGGGAGCTCATGGTCGAGCTGCTCTGCCTCTCAGCGCTTGGCTGTGAGGACTTCTTCCGCACCTTCCGCGCCCCCGAGCTTCTTGACCATGCTGCGCAGCTTTTCCAGCCGACGGACGCGTTCATCCTTACTTTGCTGCTGACCAGCGCCTGTTGCGCCAGCGCCGACGCCACAGCCTGGGGACTGCGAGCCAACTTCGAGCTTCTTGACCTTGCGCCGCAACTGGTTGAGTTCGTGGCGTTCCTGGGCGTCCAATTGCGACATGCCACTCCACCACGAGTAAGTTCCAAATCCTTGTTCCCGCCAGTCATAACCGCAACTGCGACACACGTGCCTGGAGCACCAATTTTTCGGTGCTCCGTAGCGAGGGCAATCCCAGGCCTTGGGCTGGCTGCTCGCGCCGCTGCCGTTGCCCCCGCCCGGCTGACCGCTCACACGTTCTCCTCCTTTGCTGCCTCGTGTGCCGCCGCCACCTCGCGCGGCACCTCGAACACCACTTCCACCTGCCATTGGTCGAGCCCGCGCGAACTAGGCTCCCAATCAGGCGATTGAAGCTGTGGCCACGACGGCCTCGCTGAAAGCTTGGTCCATTCCGGGTATGACCCAAGAAATGGCGCGACGCACATGGGACCATACATATGCCCAAATCGGTACATCTTGGGCCAACATGGCTACGTGTGATGGTGATGATGACGATGGTGATGATGATGACTATGATGGTGCTGCTGATGACGGTGATGGTGGTAGTGATGATGCTGATGATGATTATGATGATGATGATGATGATGATGATGATGACGATGATGATGACGATGATGATGATAATGATAATAATGATGATGATGATGATGATGATTATGATGATGATGATGATGATGATGATGATGATGATGATGATGATGATGATGATGATGATGATGATGATGATGATGTGATGCTGATGATGCTGATGCTGCTGATGATGGTGGTGGTGATGGTGATGCTGACGATGATACCGCGGCATATGAGGAGGGGCATGGTAGGTAGCAAGGGGGGCGCGTCGTACAGCGGATACCGCATTCGGGATCCTGGAATGCGATATTACGAAGTAGGAGTAGCTGAATATTTTCGCGAAGCTGCCGACGCCGTCCAAGGTGAACGGCTGAGTACGGCCACCCTGCCCGTTCCCTGTGGCAATGGGGAAACTTTTTTCTTCCCTGGCGCACATGCTGCTGACAACTGCACGCGCAGGCCGCTGTCATGGCGAGCACGAGCGCGAAAGCCCATGCATGGTAGCTTCACATCTATCACTAAAATTTGACGTCCTTGTCGGACGCATTAATCTCTAGGAGGAGACACTCGGAAGCCCTGCTGCTGGTGGCTGTCTCCCCAGGGACCAACTGAACAACTGCACCCTCTAACCGCTCATCTAAAATCAAGCACCGATGTCGGGCATCGCCTTCGTTGCTCTCCCCAGCCAAACTGCATGCCCGCTGGACGTGGGAATGAAACATGGGGGCAAGGGGGGATGAGGAGGAGGCGGACGAGGACATTTAGAGGAACGACGAAAAGGCTAGACCGCATAGAGCCTGACGAATAACTCGCACAAGGCCATACTGGCGCACCTGTGCCGTCCTGGCAGGCCGCAGCTTCTGCGAGCGACAACGCAGCACGCGAACAAGCGGTGCTGCTGCACTCATCACTTTGCCTGTGTCCACCGTTTCCACCCACGCATCGAATAGTATGCTTGCCTGCTTGCTTATTCTCCTCCTCATTCCCCGCATCCACCTCATCGTCGCCCCCTGAAATCTAGAAGGCATTGTTGATATTGCTGCCAAGGCCACCTGGCGCCACCGCCTCTGAAACGGGAGTCACCGCGAGGGCCCTCCTGCGACACTCGCCCGCAATGCCTGCCTCTCCCAGGAACATGTGCCATCTTGCTCACGGCGTGGGCGGCACTGCACAGTTCGTGGCCCGACGGGCGTGGTATATTCCCCAAACGTACTTGCACGTATGGGTATCTTACTTCTCTTCTCAGGAACTGGGCCTGTGCGTCGGTCTGGCGGCTATGTTGTCGCCGTCAGCGCCCCGTTGCCGCCTCGTCACCGCCCATCGCCTCACAAGTTGCACCACTTAGACAGACCGAGACAAATAGTTTGCACACCCTATATTGCACCGCGTAGGTTGGACCGCATGGGTTCCACCACATCTATTCACCACATGGGGTGCACAGCATCTGTTGCACCACCTAGGGTACACCGCATAGATGGTTCCCCATCAAGCACACACCATGCATTGCATCACACATGGTGCACCGCTTAGACTACACAGCTTGCACAACACACACCGCACC